TGTTGCTCAAGCTGGTCTTGAACCCTTGATCTCTTGAAGCCTCAAGAGATCCCTCTGCTTTGGCCTCCAAGAGTGATAGGATTATGGGCCAGAGTGATAGGATTATAGGCGAGAGCCACTATGCCCAGCTGACCTCTCTCGTTCTAAAGGAGGGCTCAGACAAACAAATCACTAACGCTCCTCCCTGCTAGTCTTGTGGCTCTGACCAGATGAGCATTTAGATTATTAGCTACTTTGGGAGGAGTTGTTTAGGGCGAGGAACTTTCCAACATCCACTGTCCAGAAGATCTAATGTATATGTGCTTCCTTGTTGAGTTCCTCATGAGTTTCATATTTCAATGGACTTATGAAATAAGATCTTTGTAGCTTTGTAATTATTTCATTTGTTTCAGAAAACATACTAATTTTTGGGTTCACTTTATGCTATTTACCCATTTGGTTTAACATAATTAATACAAAACTCCCCAAACACTAGTCTAGTAATGGTTTACAATCTCTCCAAAATATTTCTATTTATGGATTAACAATCGGAAGCCTACATTAGTATTACTTAACATAAACTAGTATTTATTTGAGCTCATGATAGTTTTTATTAAGCAAAGAGGATTGAATGAATTTAGATTCATTCAGTCAATTCAGTGAACTGTGTATATAAAATTATAGTTTGGGCAAAAATTATTTCATGTAATGGAAATTTCAATATTGAGACTCAGAATTTTGGTCTAACAAGCCATTTAATTTAATCTTTATTTTTTAAAGTGTTATAACCAATCACCCTGTATCTGTTCCTAAAATAAGGCCTAGAATTGAAGGTTATCTTACTGCTTCAACATTGCTAGGAGAAGTATCTGAGCTTGATTAATATTGTGCTAGTTTTATGTGCAAAGCAGGCAGATGAGATAACAAGTGTTTGGTCATCTTTGTCCACGAAAAGATGAAGCACTCTGGACAACTTAAGAAATGAAAATAAGAAAACCACAAGAATCGAGGTTGCCCATGCTCTGTTCTTTGCGCTGATGGCTTACGGCGATGCAATCATGTTTAGTGATTAAGTAGCAGTAAAGCAAAACATGCGAAGTCAAAATTATTTAGCAGGCACCTGCAGAATGAGGACTGAATAAGATAACCCACCAGCCCCATAACTGAGGATGCCAAAGGATTCTCTGGGGTTTTATTTTATTTATTTATTTATTTTTAAGACAGAGTCTCACTTTGTTGCCCAGGCTAGAGTGAGTGCCGTGGCGTCAGCCTAGCTCACAGCAACCTCCAACTCCTGGGCTCAAGCAATCCTCCTGCCTCAGCTTCCCATGTAGCTGGGACTACAGGCATGTACCACCTTGCCTGGCTAGTTTTTTCTTTATATATATTAGTTGGCCAATTAATTTCTTTCTTTTTATAGTAGAGATGGGGTCTCGCTCTTGCTCAGGCTGGTTTCGAACTCCTGACCTTGAGCAATCCGCCCGCCTCGGCCTCCCAGAGTGCTAGGATTACAGGTGTGAGCCACCGCGCCCGGCCTCTCTGGGGTTTTAGATGCCACACTCTCACAGAGGCATGAGGAGGGGTAGGAATCTCCATCCTGGCTAAGGCTGCCCATCCTTCCTGCCTTCCTTCTCTTCCTCCCAATTCTCATCTGCAAAGCGCTTTGCACCAAGCACTGTGTCAGACGCTGTTGGGTGGTAATAAATCTATGAAATACGATCAGTGTATCCATGGACCCTAAGACCCCCAACGACAGCAGAGGGGCAGAGCTTTGGGGAGACACGAGCTGTTCTACTCTTTGAGAAGCACCCGTCCCCAAGCAGATGGAGAAAGGCTGAGCCACAGGGGACTCTGGAGTCAGGTAGCCCCGATGCCCCGGCCCCCCGCAGGTGTGAAGGGCAACACTGAAGGAGCAAGACAAAGGGGCCCTGCTCCCCAGCTCTCTGTCTTTGCTTGTGCCCTTGGCTCTCCTCTTGTCACCTCCCCCACCTGCCTGACCAAATCCAGCCATTCTCAGGGCCCCCCAGGAAGCCTGCTCGGGGTTCTCCCTCCTGGAAGCATCTCTCAGACCTCCAAGCTCTTAAAGTACCTCGTCTTCACTTCTCTTATTACACTTACTATTTTCTGCTTCCCAGAAATAGGTTTGCCCTGATCTTTTTTCTCTCAACTTCAGGTTATGGAAGTCAGGTTCTATACTGTATCTTACTCATTCTTATGTCATTTTTGTCTATTGGAGAGTGGCTTGCTCATAGTAAAAAAAAAAAAAAAAAAGTAAAAAGAATAAACAAAAAAACCAAATAAGTGTTTAGGGAAATACAACTGGGAGGCGCCAGAAATCCACTTCCCACGATACCTTGTTGGAGAAAAGCATGTTTTCCAGATGCCTAATAATAATGAGGCAAATGAAATTCAAACACCGCATATCCTGAGATTATGGACTCTTGTTGTTAATCTGGGTCCTTATCTGTCATCAGATTCAATTCCATATGTAGCACATTCGTGGCATGAGTCACAGAATGTTCTTGAACGTCCCCAGTGGCAGGAAAGCATGACTTATCGTGACAGAGCTCCCGCATCTCAGGCTTTTGATCGTGCGTCTTCTGCACTCCGTTTGAGACCAGGTTGCTCTGCCCTGCAGCCCTCAGGTTCCTGCCAGCGAGGGCCTGGGGACCTGCAGGTGTGTCCTGCCGGTGGGAGGCTTCTCTCCAGACCACAGGGAGGCGTCACAGCCACGTCGGGTCAGCATCACGTGGATGGTTGGGGAGGGCTTGGCGTTTTCTAGGATGGCAGGGAAATGAGGACCCAAGGACTCGGAGAGGAAGGGAGCATTGCAGGGAAGCAAGTTCCCAGGAAAGGGACACTCTGACACCATAGCTGCAGACTGCGGTGTCGAATCGCGAGGCCTCTGACATCAGCCGGCACTGGCACTGAGTCCTGGCCCCACTGCTGTGCCTTGTGTGATCTGGGGCGAGACATGGATCTCTCAAAGCCTCAGTTTCTCTGTTTTCATATGGTGACCATACTCTCTACCACTGCATGAGGGTGAGCATTTAACGAGGTCCTCAAGGCACCTGCATGGAGCCGGCATAGCGTGAGGCTTCAGCAAGTGCTGATTAAGCGGTTTCTTTTCTTTTTTTTTTAAGCTATCCTTTTAAAAGCCGTAATCCTTGAGCAAAATAACAATCAAAAACACACACTAACTGACAAGCTCGTTCACCCTGATCATTTCCATGGCCCAGACATTCCAAGAGAGACCAGAGTGGTTGCAGTGTGTCCTGCATGATATGACCTCAAATGATGAAGGAATAAAACTGTGTAGACATTTTCTGGGGATGAAACCTGAGAAATGTTACCTCTTTCTGAATTTTTTTCCTCTCCCTCTCCTCCCTTTCAAAGGCACTCTATTGAGAAATCACGTGACACGGAAATACTTGATTTGTCGACTACAGGGTCTCACAACCCTTGGAGGAGCCTCCCTGCCCTGGCTGCTCTCAGCGCACAGGGGACGACCGTCGGCCCACTTGGCTCAGTCTGGCCTCAGCTTAGGCAGCTCAGTCTTCCTGTCTTATCTTTGTGATAAAGATTATAAATCCCTTTTGTAACTAAGATGACTTTGCTGAGTTGAAGCGCATGCGAACAAGTGAAAAAAAGTGCTGCAGAGAACGAGTGATTTCTAAGTATCACAACCGTGGGCACTCCCTCCGTTGACTGTACCCTAAACAGACGCTAAATGTAGCGGGCGCCACGAGAATGCATTGAAGACGGCTGTGTGGACAACGCCAGCCACACACAGACACACAGCCTCGTTGGCCGAGTCGCTATACGGGATGCCTCGCCATGGCAACACCTCCTCCCTAATGCTCAGGGTGCAAGCTCAGCCCATGTAGAGAATATTTGGCATCAGATGATTAGGAGAGAACTGTGGGAGAGCAGAATCAGTCACTCAAGGGCCATATCGCCCTTTCTTCACAGGTTAACACCACAAGTGATAGCAACTGAAAACCAGCACGCCAATGGTGCCATCAGATTGCTTAGATTTCAGGGCCATTGTTCTCTCCCAACCACAGTCGACACGCTTTTGCCATGGTACTTCCACTCCTGGGGTCATCGGTGTACTCCATCTCAGTAGTCGTTTGCTATAGAAATGGGATGTTGCAGCAAAATTCCCAAGGGTGTCAGCTTTCCTTGTGAAATTCAGAATGTATAGCGATCTCCCAAGGGTACAAGGGGACTTGTGGAAAAAGAAAATACTTTAAAAAGAGCATGATTTGTCCAGTCAAGACATGGAGTAAATACCTCTGTGAAATTGTATCTTGTTAGAAGCGAGTGTTAGTTCTAAGCATTCTGCAATTGCATTCTTGGTGTTCTTGGCCTATAAACAGAGACAGGCGGCATCTGCACAGCCACTAGTAAAGGGTTCGGCTTCTGAACAGTGGTGGGGTGGGTTTCTGCAGGTGAACGGGGGCGGGGGGCGTGGACAGTGGGTGCTGTCCCTGTTCCTGGGGAGAGGCAGAGACCTGCAGGCCGCAGCTGGCAGGGAAGTCACCCTCGACCTGGAGGACAGCGTGGCTCACCACCACGCAGCTATCCCGCTGAATCTGCTACTTAGCTCCAGCCTTCCTGTGGCAGAATGCCATGGCATTTTCCTATAAACAGGGGACAGTGACAACTCTAGAAAAGAATCGGATTGCTCCAAATGGAGTCACTGCCGGAATTCAAGAGAACCGGCAGGTGGAATGTGAGATGAATTACACTTCCAAGAAAGCCGTTAGCACAGTCGACCTCGTTGTCCACCTCTCTAACAAAACAAAACACAGAAGAACCCCTTCGACACTTCAGCAACTGCTTTTCTTTTCAGGCATTTATATCTTCTCTTATAACTGATTGGGATACAGTAGAAAGCACACTCACTTCATTCGCTCAAATGCCAAAGGAATTCCCCCATTAGCATTGCCATTTCTGCTTTACTGAAAAACCGCCAGGGTGCAAAGGGCCCCGGGGAAGGAGGTCTGGGCTCTTACTTTCCTCGGAGAGGTCGTTCTCCTCTGCCTCCCGCTCCATCTCCTTGCACCAGCCTTCCATCCGCTTGGTCTCCGTGTGCAGCGGCTTCAGGAACCACGAGCCGTCCCTGCGGCAGGGAGACATCCTGCCCGTCTCCACCGTGTCCAGGGACGGCTCCAGCCAGGGGTCGGGAGGGGGCAGGTCTGCGGTGTCCACCGGGGCCCTGTAGTCCTCTCTGTAGCTGAAGAGGCCCTGGGTCCGCACAGTCCGCACCGCTCCGTACTGGGTGGGCGTGCTGGGCTCCGAGTGCCGCTGGAAGGAGGAGCCGAACTGCAGGCCTTTGTCCTCCGTGGTGATGTGTCCTGGGAACCCCTCTAGCTCCAGGTCAGCCTGGACGGCGGCCGTGACGCTGTTGGAGCGCTTGAAACGCCCGTGTCTGCAAAGGAGGGAGAGGAGACAGATGGTAGCCTTTTTTCGACATGCAACAAAAGCCTAAATACGGCTTGTGGGGAGCACACCTGAACCACGGCAACTCAGCGACTCAGAGAAAGGACCAGCGTGTTATCAGTTGGACAGGCTGGTGCTTCATCCAGGGAAGGACACCTGGTTCTGCAAATAATCAGACTTTAGCATCTGCCTTTGTCTCGATGCCTACATAACGCCCAGTTAAGATTTAAGTTCACTGCTGGGCATGGTGGCTCACACCAGTCGTCCTGACACTTTGGGAGGCTGAAGTGGGAGGACTGCTTGAGGCCAGGGTTGTTTGAGACCAGCCTGGGCAAAAAGTGAGACCCCGTCTCTACAAAAAATAAAAACTTCAAAAAGATTTGAGTTAATTGAATGGTACAGGGAGAGTCAACGTGCTTTATGAAATCACCATCAGTGAGCGGTTGCTTTCCTTTCAGAAACACGCCAAGAGTTTACACAGCCCCTGCTCCTGCTCCATTGTGTGCATGTAAAATGGCACCTTGTGTTGCTGCTTCCAGTGAAAACGTCTGTGTCACGCTGAGCATCACTGACCCCTGTCACCTGAGGCCTGAGCTCCGCCCCCAGGGGTGACGTGATGTCCTCTCGTCCCCAGTAGCTCTCGAGTGCAAACAATGAATCCAGGTTCTGACTTGAGAAGGCATTTTAGAAACACTCTTGCTGTGTGTGTATTGCTGTCACCGGTTCCCTGCTCACTGAGGTGATCAGGAAGGAAAGAGCTGGTCCCCAGAGGCTGGTGCTACTGGTGAGAACCCTGCATGTGTATACGTGTGATATGTGTACGTATGTCTGTGTATGTGTGACACATGTGTCTGCATGTCATCTGTGTAGTGACTGTGTATCACTGTAGTCTGTGTATCACTGTGTGTGATAGTGTGTGTCTCTGTATGGGAATGTTTCTGTGTATATGTGTGTGATATGCGTGTCCATGTAGCATGTGTGTCTCTGTGTGATGTGTGTATGTTTCTGTGTATGACATGAGTGTGACATGTGTCCATGTAGCATGTGTCCCTGTGTATGATGTATGTGTATGTTTCTGTGTATTCATGTGTGTGATGTGTGTCCATGTACCATGTGTGTCTCTGCATGTGATGTGTGTGCCTGCCCATCCCAGGTTACCGTGGCCATGTGCCTGGCTCTGCAGTGAGGACCCACGTGCCGCACACGGCTGCGCGTGCAGCTGGCTACCCATGCAGCCATGGCTCCCTTTGCTGCAGGCGGCGGGAAGACGAGGAGCCACAGCTCACAGGGAAGGCGCATGCCCAGCCTCCCAGGAGACGTCTGCTTGGACGCCCTTGCTATTGACCTCTGCAGGCACTGAAGCCACCACATTGAGAGGGACATTCCCCAGCCCCCATCTGCCAGGGCTCGCTGTGGCCCAGCAGGCAACACCCTCGGCAGCATGTGTCTCCATGAAACTGACGATGTACACTGTTTCAGATGCAAACCGGAACAGTCACCTCACCTCGTTACAGAAGTGACACTGCTGCAGTGGGCATCTCTTTGCATTTTTTACTGTGAGGTCATTCCTTTGCGGCGTGACAATTCTATGTACGGCACAGCTAACAGCATGAACCTGCTTCCTTTTCACCCCTCCTTTCCTCTCATATCCCATGGTGCAGGGCGAGAAGCAACCACCTGCTCCACCCCTGCCTGCCTCTTTCCCAGGACAGAGCTTCGACTCTGCGGCTGTCGGCCGCAACGCGTTCACAGGCGGCAAATCATGTCAGGAAGAATGATTCCCTTTCCTCTCGCAGAAATGAGACACAGGCAAATGCTAACTCATACCTGAACGATACAAACTGAAAAGCATAAACATATGACCCTGTTCCACAAATGGCATGAATCATTGACGGCTGGCGAGACCCAGACACCCGCAATCAGGTTTCTGACAAACAGCTCTTGCTCGGGGAACACCACGCATGTCGGAGGGGGTGAGTTACCGCTTTTCGTCCTCCACTTGCACGCCGACGGAGTGGTATTCCCGCAGGCCCCGGCTCTCCGTGTCGGAATCTGTGGCTGTTTCCACCTAATTCAACACAGAACATCTCACTTTAGCACTGAGACGTGGGCCTGGGCAAGGGACTTTGTTGTTGTTGTTGTTCACTCTCTGTGATTAATTATGCATTTGTTTAATCAACGCAGAGATGCGTGTGACCCAGTAAAATCACAAAGAAGGAGATGCATTCACCTCGGTGGGATTACGTTGTGACTGCAGCTCACCGTACTTTACGCAACTCCTTGAACTCCCTGCTGCACTCTGGTTTTTTAAATGTATGCAAATAAACTGCCTAGCTCAGCTTAGGCAAAAAACAGGCTTTGTTGGATGCATTATCACAGGACTCAAAAGCTCTTATCACACCCTGCAGTGAAGAAGGTAAGTACAGCGTGAACCAAACATAGCGTCCAACAACAAATAAGCAATTTGATAGCGTTATACTGATGGCTGCATCCACGTACAGAGAGACACAGAAAGGAATTTAAGCATTTATCAGAAACATTGAGGCAAACTCCCTGCCTGCCTCTACACAGAGCTGCCCCAAGTCTACCGAGAGGGCTGCCGAGGGGCGCCGGCAGGTCAGGACAGGAACCGAGTGTCCTACAGAGAATCCTCATTTGCCAAAAGGGCTCCGCAGACCCATGGAGCATTTCAGGGACCCTCAGCTGGGTAAAGCTGCCGTGCAAGGGAGTTCTGGCACAGTGCATTTTCTGTTTAAAACACCACCCAAGTCAGTACGAGAAGTCTGTGAAACCAAAGGTTAGTGAAGCCATAAATATGATTCCAGGTACTGAACCATCCCCTTTTTTTTTTCACAAAAATATATTGCCTATTGTAGCAAAAGGACTTTGGGCTCCCATCTGAAATATCATAACTAAGTCGTAAAATACACCTTTTCTTAAAAATGCTGCTGACTGCGCCAAGGACAAGGTGCGGAGCGTTGAACAAACAGTGGTGACACGGCCTTCTGGGGGCTGCGGCCTGTGGCTGCGCCAGCCCGGGCCTGTGTGCACCAGGCCGACTCATGGCTGCAGCCGGGAGGCGCACAGGTGAGTGTAGCTGACACTAGCTTGGTAGGACCATAAAGCCAGAGTGTCACTAGCTCCATCGAGTGTAACCCACACAACCACCCTGCTGGCGTGCCTAGACGCGGGAAACAGCTGGGGCACCAGCCAAGGTGAGTAACTTGCTCAGGGCCGCCCAGCCTGCTGGGGGCAGAGCCGGGACTCTAGCCTGGACCTCTGACGAGCCGAGCATGGAGTAAGATAGACGCCACGTGAAGGCCCTGGCGATCTGGGTCGGCTACGGAGCCCCGGGAAAGGTCAGAGACAGCCCATCTTTTATGGGAATAATTCTGCAGACATGTGTGGACACATTGCACCTGATTTGTGTCGTGTGTCTGGATGGCTGGAAGAAGGGACAGACAGACCACAGGGGGATGGACATTCATGAGTGAAAATCCCAGCCTGCCTGTCAGGACCCACCATCCCATTTTCTAGTTTTAAGGGTGTCATGGCTTTATGAGAGTTTACCTTTTTGGGAGTATGAAGATTATTATTTTACACAAAAGGATCAAAATAAAAATTAATGTATTTAAAATGCCATGTCAGTGCATGTGCAGCTGCCTTCTGTTTTAACTGCACACTGTTCCATGTTATGAATACATCCTAATGTACTCCATCAATCTTCGATGGAGGGATACTAGATATTTCTAGTTTTCTGTCATTACAGATAAGGCTGCTATAAACACATGTCTGTACTTGTGTGTACATGTGAATTTTGTGAATATATTCACATGATCTGTGGTTTGTAGGTCAAAGGCATTGCATTTTACAATTCTGGCAGATATTGCCAGATTCAACAGATGTAGGAGATGGGTGAAATCAATTCAAATGTATACTTTTAAAGAGATTTTGTAAGGAAAAGAGGCTGATTTTCATCATACAAGTGTTGAGAACGTTTGCGTCACTCATTCCCCATGTAGGGACCTAGCCTGAAGACACGATCTTACATTCTGACAAGTGCTGCCGTGTTCACCTGCAGCGTTCATGAGGAGACACCAGGGGAAGGGGGCATGGTGCAGTAGGGGGAGAGTAACCCGCACGCCACGGTCACTGGTGACGCAGAGCACTGCGCCGTGATCAGAGAGTGTGGCTGTGAAGTCAGGACACGAGCAGCACTTCTGGTATAACATGGACTGAAGAGCACAGACCCACAGGTGCTGTGGACACAAATCGCAAGACACCCGCACATAGACACACGCACAGACAGACATCCGCACACAGACACCCGCACACAGACACCCGCACACAGACACACGCACAGACACACCCACACAGACACCAGCACACAGACACACGCACAGACAGACATCCGCACACAGACACACGCACAGACAGACATCCGCACACAGACACCCGCACACAGACACACGCACAGACACACCCACACAGACACCAGCACACAGACACCCGCACACAGACACCCGCACACAGACACACCCACACAGACACACGCACACAGACACACGCACAGACAGACATCCGCACACAGACACCCGCACACAGACACCCGCACAGACAGACATCCGCACACAGACACACGCACAGACACACCCACACAGACACCAGCACACAGACACCCGCACACAGACACACCCACACAGACACCCGCACACAGACACACGCACAGACAGACACCCGCACACAGACACCCGCACACAGACACACGCACAGACACACCCACACAGACACCCGCACACAGACACCCACACACAGACACACGCACAGACAGACATCCGCACACAGACACCCGCACACAGACACCCGCACAGAGACACCCTCACAGACACCCGCACACAGACACCAGCACACAGACACCCGCACACAGACACCCCGGCACACAGACACCCGCACACAGACACCCGCAACCACCAGAACACCCACACAGACAACGCCGCACACCACGACACCCCGCACACAGACACCGACACACAGAACACCAAGCACCGCACATACACACCACACAGACACACCCACAAGACACGCACAGACACACGCACACAACACCGCACACAGAACCGCACACAGACACACGCACAGACCAGAACATTCCGCACACAGACGACCGCGCACACAGACACCCCGCCACCAGATACCGCACTACGACACCCCGCACACAGACACCCACACACAGACACCCGCACACAGACACACCCACACAGACACACCCACACAGACACACGCACACAGACACCCCCGCACACAGACACCCGCACACAGACACCCGCACACAGACACACCCACACAGACACACGCACAGACACACCCACACAGACACCCGCACACAGACACCCGCACACAGACACACGCACAGACATCCGCACACAGACACCCGCACACAGACACCCTCACAGACACCCGCACACAGACACCAGCACACAGACACCCGCACACAGACACCCCGGCACACGGTGTCTGTGTGCGGGGTCTGTGGTGGGTGTCTGTGTGCGGGTGTTGTGTGTGGGTGTCTGTTGCGGGTTCTGTGTGGGTGGTCCTGTGCACGTGTCTGTGTGCGGGTGTCCTTGTGGTGCGGGATGTTGTCCTGTGCGTTGTTGTTGTGCCGGGGGTGTCTGTGTTGGTGTCTGTGTGCGGGTGTTGTTGTGTGGTGTCTGTGTGGGGTGTCGTGTGCGGGTGTCTGTTGTGGGTGTCTGTGTGCGGGTGTCTTGTGCGGGTGTCTGTGTGCGGGTGGTCTGTGTTCGGGGGTCTTGTGTGCGGGTGTCTGTTGGTTCTGTGCACGGTTGTGTGGGGTGTCTGTGGTGCGGAATGTCGTCTGTGCGTGTCTGTGTGCGGGGTGTCTGTGTGTGGGTTCTTGTGCGGGTGTCTGTGGGTTGGTGTCTGTGTGCGGGTGTCTGTGTGCGGATGTCTGTCTGTGCGTTGTTGTGGTGCGGGGGTGTCTGGGTGTTGTCTGTGTGCGGGGGTGTCTGTGGTGTGGGTGTCTGTGTGTGGTGTCCTTGTGTGCGTGTGTCTGTGTGCGGGGTGGTCTGTGTGTGGGTGGTCTGTGTGTGGTTCTGTTGCGGGTGTCTGTGTGCGTGTTCTGGTGGCGGGTGTCTGTTGCTGGGTCTTGTGTCTGTGTCTGTGTGCGGTGGTGTCCGTGTGCGGGATATCTGTGTGCGGGTGTCTGTGTGTGTGTGGTTGTTCGGGTGTCTGTGTTGGTGTGCTGTGCGGGGTGTTGTGTGGGTTGTCTGTGCATGTGTTGTGTCGGGTGTCTGTGTGCGGATGTCTGTCTGTGAGTGTTCTGTGTGCGGGTTCTTGTGCGGGTGTCTGTGTGGGTGGTTGTGCGTGTGTTCTGTGTGGTGTGTCCTGTGTCGGGTGGTCTGTGTGCGTGTGCTGTGTGTGTTCCTGTGTGCGGGTGTCTGTGTGGCTGGTGTCTGTCGTGGGTGTGTCTGTGCTGTCTGTGTGCGGGTGTTGGTGTGCGGGTGTCTGTGTGTCGGTGTCTGTGTGCGTGTGTCTGTGTGCGGGTGTCCTGTGGCGGGTGTCTGTGTGTGCGGGTGTCTTGCTCTGTGCGTGTGTCTGTGTGCGGTTCTGTGTGCTGTGTGTGCGTGTGTGTGTGTCTGTGTGCGGGTGTCTGTGTGGGGGTGTCTGTGGTGCGTGGTGTCTGTGTGCGTGTGTGTCTGTGTGCGGGGGTGTGCTGTGTGCGTGTCTGTGCGTGTGTCTGTGTGGGTGTGTCTGTGTGGCGGTGTCTGTTGCGGTGTCTGTGTGCGGGTGTCTGTTGGTGTCTGTCTGTGCGGTGTCTGTGTGTTGTCTGTTGTGGTGTGTCTGTGTGCGTGTGTCTGTGTGCGTGTGTGCTGTTGTGTGCGGTGTCTGTTGGCGTGTCTGTCTGTGCGGTGGTCTGTGTGCGTGTCTGTGTGTGCGGGTGTCTGTGTGCGGGTCTGTGCTGTGCGGGTGTCTGTGGTGTGTCCTGTGTGCGGTGTCTGGTGTGGTGTCTGTGTGGTGTCTGTGCGTGTGTCTAGTGTGCGTGTGTCTGTGTGC